TTTAATCAAATTATTCCTTACATCAGTTCCTTCAGTGATACATTGATGTCAGTTTCAGTGTTATGAACAGTTAGACTTGTGAACCACCCTCATTCCCAATGGAGTTTATATCTCTGAGGGCCCACTGTAATTATGGGACTGGATACATTTTTTTATGATGTACCTGAAAGCAAAATTCATAAGAGGATAAGCCAGAAACAATAACCAGACAAATTTGGAGGTTTATTGTGTGACTGTGTGACAATAGTATCAAAAGCAGTGTCTTTACATGAGGTCAGAGGCCAAAGAAATTAGTATTTGTGAGTGTGTGTGTGTGTGTGTGTGTGTGTGTGTGTGTGTCTGTGTGTCTGTGTGTATGTGTATGTGTGTATGTGTGTGCACCACTCACTACGCCATCAGCAGTGATGAAACCAAACCCCACCCCCAGCAGCATCACTGGGAGAATGTGCTCCAATTACATTCCAGCAAAGGACACATGGTCACATGACCACAGCCCCAGTCACAGCTTATTTTACACAGTGGCCTGAATCATCCACCTCACTGCTTTCGGTGGCTATAACAACAGAGACGAAAATGGCCCCTCTTTTCGTCGTCTTCCTGTAATGCTGGCTCAGTGTACATCAATGTACCCTGAGCTAATCGATAGCCCAATGTACATGACATTATACAGAAGCGCAACAACCACAAAACCAGTTCCACTGACTGCTGATTTTAAACTATGAAACAAATGCAATGTATAAGGGGTTGACCTGAGAATGGTTATGTAAGACAGTGAAATGGAGCGAAAAGAGACCACTGCCCCTACTCTCTGGAGCATGAAACAGGGATATAACTGTGTGTGTGTGTGTGTGTGTGTGTGTGTGTGTGTTTGTGTGTTTGTGAGTGAGATGAAACCAAACATGACACATGGGATTTTATGGAAAAAAAGGTCAGTCTCATAGTTTGGGGTATTTTGGATTTTTGATGCATTGTAATAAAATGTAAGAAATGCTAACGGCCAAGTGTTAAAAACAGGAAGGGACGGAGCCGTCATCGCTCATCCGCAGCTGGGTTGCGCTGTCGCATCGCTTCTGTGCGCACGCTGCTCCGAATCAGCGCTTTCCCATAGTGCCGTGCAGCATCACCTAAATATAGCGTTCATCCACACACACGCAAAAGGATAACACCCACGTCTAAAAATAGAGCCCCTTCTCCCCCCCACCATTGTGTGATGGGGAATTAAGTCATTGGTTAGCAATGGCTGTTGGGAAGAAGTGCAAGAATCAAGACTGAGCAGTACTGAGCGGAATTCCCTACAGCCACTGGCTAAGTGTTTCTGAGCAATCTGTGTCGCGTAGTCGCTTATCTCTGGCCTCCTCATAACAGTTGCGAATTCGGTGCTTGCCATCACGTCCCTTTGCTTTTGAATTGCTCGACTTGTCTCTCTGACCCCTTCCCGTTCATTGTGATGCTTTGAATTAATGCCGAAAAGACACAGTGTGTAATCACAAATTCCCATGTTATGTGGATAGCTCTACCGATTGACTGATCCTACAGCATCAGGCCATCCACACACCATAAAGATCAGTGCACCAGCATTGCTTCTGTATTGTACTGATCCGGATATGAAATTCGTTCACTGTATCTATCTGATGGGTTTAATTTTATCGACGAAGCCATCAGTGTCAGTCATCGGTACAGGTTCACAGTTATCGACACCTAACCAATATTGGACATTTGCAATCTCAAAATGTTTCTTCCCCAGTGCATAATCGGTGCAAAAATTAGGTTTATGGCAGTTTCTGCTCTCCCTATGAGCACAGTGCACCCCTCACCTCACTCTAGGAACCCCCAAGTGTCAAAGCAGTCTGCCAGCGTTAATGTGATTTGCCAAAATTTAACAGTCAACACTTCTTTTTGTGCCTGTGAAAGACCTCATTAGAGAGGCACGGCCAGCAGAGGTGCCGAGACGGGCCTGCCAGTTTTATTTAAATGAGGTCTTAAAAAAGGGGGCGAGATTCACACCATGTGACTACAATATCTGCTTTTGGCGTTCATCCTCAGCAAGGCTTCAGCAATAGCACAATGAGCACAATTACTGAGCTTTGTGCTCTGAAAGAACTCACACAGAAATCTCAGCTTCAAAGCCCGAATTCATGTATTCAACATTCGTCTAACCTTGATTATTCAAGTGTATTTTTTCCATAAAAACAGAGAAAAATGGTCATTAACTCACCAGACTGTAAGAATAACACCTAGGCCTGATGTTTGCTTTTAACTGTAAGTATGGATGAAGTACAGATTTGGTGTATATATACAAACACCAATTGTATCATAGCATTGACTGTGTCACATCATACTGTGTTCACATACAACAGCCAAAGTCACTACTGCCAAGTAAAATGAAGAAGCCAGCTTGATTCTCGATGGTTGGCTAGCCTTGCAGCAAAAACATTCTTTGATCTTGTACAGTCATGAGTCAACACGAGTACACAGTGTGTTTCGGTAGGTCCTCAATATGTTTCAGTTGATCGACTAATGAAAAAAGACCACCCATCAAAACATGCTGAGTGCATAATCTCCCAAACTGATAAATAATTACTTGTGTTTAAGATGGTTAGCTTTCACCATAGAGTGTTGGCTGAAATTAGCAAGCTAGAATTCAACATAGAGCTTACATGATGTATTTATATATACCATAGATACCATGAATGATTTACATGGTAGAAACACTTTTTAAATAACTCACTATACTGTAATTATTAGCTGGGCTGATAATGCTTTATGTGTTCATGTTATAAAGCATTAATAGGCTATTATCAAAGTGCATAAAATATTTATTAGTTCTTATAACATGTTTATATACTGTTAGTAGGGTACCCAGTTGCAGGAAAGTACATATTCATGAAGACTGTTTGGATGATGTGTAAAAATATTTGCACAATGTTTGAATTGAGTATGTTTATAACTTATAGAGGAATAATACTTGACGATTATTGCGCTTGCAAGCGCGCAATTACAATGTTATTACTAACTTATAAATTCATTGATGTGCCATTAGTCCACAGTTGACTCATCATTTATATACCTTTATCAATTTATGCTTTGTATAGATGGAATTATAATAAAACAAAGATTGTCAATCTACCTAGCTGCTGAAATAACATGAATGATTTTTTAATGCAAAATAGAGCGATAATGAAATTGTTCTTTATACCAAATGCCGTTATGAACAATGAAAGAGAGAACGAGGCATAATTAATAAACAGGATCAAACTCGTGGGGATGGTGCAGTCCGTGACAGCAGACACCTATGAAATAGTGACTGGTATTAATCATTATTTTATTGACTTTTATTTCATCTGTGCTTCCGAGAAAAAACTCCACCCTTCATCTAAAATGGGGCTAGAATCCTTACAAACAGGTAGTGGTAAGACACAGATGTGTTCTCTGACAGGACATGTTGGTTCACAGGCATTATTGGTTTACGGACTGTCGGCACAATACCAGACACACATACACATTGCCATGTGCCGAATCCAATTGTAAACCTGAGATGTAACCAGAAGGTGGTAGGTTCCAAACTCAGCTGGGGCACTACTGTTGTTCACTTGAGCAAGGCATAAAAGACCACCTCTGTAAGAGTGGCAGGGTAACAGGATGGCATTGACATGGCAGCTGTGGCAGTCGTGTCTGGATAACAGTACATGCCAAGGAAATAAATACTATCATCTGTGTACTTTTGATTCAGAAAAGGACAGGTTTTTTATTGGTTGATTCATTTAATTGCTCCAAACTGAGCATCTTGCACACATTTACGATAAGAATCCGAGAGTACATACGCATGAGTTACAGATTTGTCAGCTGCAGCCCATCAGCCCCCATTGAATTTTGTAACTCACCGGTAATCAGGATAAAGGGAGTTTTATTCTCATTGTTGTCTTGTAAAGGTTTTCATTCACCAAAATAGCATACCATATGCCTTGCCCTTTGGGGTGTGTGATGGACTCTCTTCAGATTTACAGTGTACATCCATAGACATGCCTGAGTGAATATGTCATTATATATTTCAATAGGAGTATTAGAAAGTTATTTAATATTGCCATTGTTTTGTCAAGACATACGAAATGGTAGTTATTGTTGAGAGGATGTAGAACTAGATGGAGATAACATAAGGCAGAAGAGACTCGGTGAAGTTAGACTAGTCTTAAACAGACAGATGCAGTATAGTAACGCCTATCCCCAATCAAATTCAGACACGCACATGGAGGCAAATAGGCAAACATCCATATACATCAACAAAGACACACCACACACTCACAGAGATACACAAACACATTCCCACAGACTTACATATAGAGGCACATAAGCAAACACACATACACATTCACACACACTCACACATATCCATAAACATGTATCTACAGACAAACATACAATCCCCCAAAAAACACTGACACACGTATGCACACACACGCAAACACTCATAACACACACACACACACACACACACACGGGACGCCACCACTAATCCCACGCATTGTGGTGAATCGGCTGAGAGCCTCGAATATGTGATGTACATGACCTCACGTAGCCTGTAGCGTCCTGCTGGAATGGCTGGATATTGGAAGGGAAGAGAGAGAGAGAGAGAGGGAGAGAGAAAGAGAGAGTTCTCCAGGTTCAACAAAAATCAATTCTCCAGCCTTCAAGGGCAAGATCACAAACATCTGTGTCCATACAGTCTGGTGGAGCGAGCCTGGTTAAAGAGATAAGAGTCCAGCTTTGGCAAGTCTTCAACTTCAGAGTTCTCAGCTTTGCACTCAAAACTTCAGCAGAGATGCAGGTCAGAACATTCAAGCCTCTAATCCTGCCTGGTTTTGGTATTCCTGAGTGTGAACGACTCTTCCATTACACCACAGATGGCTTATTGTATATATACAAATTTTACATTTAGCAGAAGCTCTTTTCCATTAAACATACTTTCTATTCATGTGATTTATGTACCTGGATTAAGGATACAACAGCAATGACCTGTTTGGGGATTGAACCTATCACCTCTGAATTAGAAGACCAACATCTTAACCACTATACTACACTGCTGCCCAAGTTATAAGCCTATAAATTATAAGCAGATCGTGCAGCAGGCTTATTGCACAATCCACCAACCAAGATGTGCAGTTACTTCACCATCGATCTTCACAAGTAGCTGGTAGCAGAGGCAGATCACAAATTTCAGGTCAGTCAAAGACATTGTTACTGTACTTTGAGACAAGTAATATCCTGCTAACTGAAACCCTCCATTCCTGGGTAGTGCTGAGGCCACTTTTGAATAGGTCCACAGGAGTTCCCAGTCAGCACTGGTATAGTAAGAGTTGCCTATGACAATGCTAAGATAGCTGGAAGTCCCTTCAATAGTCATTTGCTTTATGTTTCAATGGTTAGCAAATGTCAGAGCAAGATATTGTATGGTTGTAACCATAAACACATTTTGGTTTTGTTCTTTCTGATGTCATCTTAGTTACACAGACAGTAGTTTCTCAATTCAGGGTACTTCACATCTTTCCTCACAGTGTGTGTAATATTGTAATGCAACATTTTATCTTTTTTTCTTTATTTTAGCATCAGAGCAGACCTGAAACAAGCAAATTATCTAGGTGGCAGACTATCAGTACAGGCTGAGAATCAATCAATTTGTTTGATTACGGTATTTTTCTTGCAGACATTTTTGAAAAGAACTTTAGATGACACACAATCATTTGCGAAATTCTCTAATGCTCTCAAAATGCCAAATTCATGTCAAAATATCCAAACAGAATGCTTTATCTACTGATGAAAGTGAGTGAATGCCCTATTTGTAAATCACAGCAGCTATCATTTTTATCAGATATAAAAATTGATTTATAAAAATCAACAAACAGTTGATTACCAAATTAAAAATAATTTTTACCACGACAATACTTTTAATACTTTTTCAATCTCAAAATTTTTTCCTTGCGCTCATATACTGCTGGTAATCATACAAATCAAGGCTTTAAATTATAATTCCTCAAGTAGGATTTCCTTATAGCCTGTAGTTTGTGCTGTAGAGTTATGTCTTGCTGTTTCCCTTTGACTTCATGGCAGTTCTATGTGGAGACTTAACTCGAGAATTTAACAAAGAATGCAACGACTATCAAGCTATAATCACTGAGGAGAAAAATATATGCTGTTTCTCATACTGCAGTTATCCCTACATGCCTACATTTATAGCATATTTCAAGGAGATTGCTCCCGCATTACAACAGGAAAAATTCAATATCACCATTTGAACACATTGCAGTGCATTGTGGGTGTTTACTGGGGCATCCTATCCAGAGTAACTTACGATGCAATAATAGATTTGGGCTCAAAAATATCCGAAATGAGGGAAGCGTAGTCCCAGAGCACCAGAGATCAGAAAAACATAGCATTCAGCTGGGAACCTGTTGATTATTCTGTCAAGAAAATTACACGATTAACTAACAAACAAATCAGTGCAATCAATATGCAGAGTCGCAGCCCGGAAAGAAAACCACAATTTACGTACAGGCAAAAACAAGGTTCAAGGTGGGGCTGTCTTATGATTTCCCATCTCCCATGTTCATTTGCAGTTACCTGTACCTTGACTGGATGTGGTTGGTAGCAGTATCAGTGGCATGTAAACTTACGGTGCGTATCTAAGGAAGAGCACTGGGTTGGAATAGTCTCTTGGCTACGCTTCATAGCTCACACCTGGCTGGACAATGGCTTCCAACCAGGCGATAAAAGGGTGAATACGGCACTGTAATTCTGTTTATGGGTGTATCTGGTCTTGAGAATCCCCGCTGAGAGGTTTTACAGCTGTCAGTAGCTGCTTAACACCTGAGGTGCTTTCAAAATGTGCAGAGCTTAGAGACACAAAGTGTATTTCTAATATAAGCAAGCTGTTTTTTCAAAACACAATTTGAATTTACATTTCAAATTAAATTTAGCTATGTAATTACATACAGTCCGTCTCATAATACGAGTTTAATGGCATATATTGAATGTGGCTCTATTAGTTAAGCAAAATGTATCATACTATTGTCAATGAGTTTCAGTACAGCCCGGTCTCAGCTTAATAGAATCCATTTTGTGTACTGAATATGCACCTGGAACATTGTTTAATTAAATGTGCATTGAGTTAATGACTGTGACTTCACAACTTGGACCTTATGACTGGAATCCTATACATTTACATTAAACTCTACTGGCTTTACTCAACCTGAATATATAACAAATCTCTGTGCTCGTGTTCATCAGTAAAATTGCACTGCGTTTCAGAGAAGGCAGGCTATCATTATAAATTGATTGTCATGGTAACACTTTGCCGTACACAAACATGCCATTAAGACGCAGAAGTAAAGCGAAAATAAGATTACTGGCAACTCTGAGACGACAAATAAATTCACCATTAATAATTAGATGGCATCGTTTGAGCAAACAAGCCATTTCATAATGACTTCAGTTCATTAAGATGCATCTGCTATTCTTCTGGATGCCCAGTTATTTAATCTTCAGTACCTTTTTAAATTGGCCCCCTTCAAAAACTTTGATTACAAACCGTGGGGAACTCCACAAACTGCGGGTTATGGTTCATCTCGACAATTATACCAGCAGTTGGTCAAATGCGTTTTATTTGTTTTTGACTTCGCCGAATGCAGACTCGGTCCCAAACGATTTTGGTCCCTCGGAGGGACATAAAAAGGTGAGCCTGCTCGGCCATTTCCTGTCCACGTGGGGGAAATAGCCGCCAAACATCCTCGAACGTCACGACTTGTTTCAGCTTGACACCCAAACTCAATTTCCATCAGACAGGAGAAAGAAAATGGGGTGGTTGAAAAATAAAAACGAGTCGGGCAAAACTCAGGGAAACAAGGGTCTTGACAGTGTGGAGGGGATCTGAAAGGCCAGCTGACACTTCTCAGCCCGATGCGATCAAAGGGTCTGTCGGCCAGAGGCTGACTCGACGAGTACCTGCGGTCAGCTTGAGCGGAGAACAGAGGGAGAGACGACCGCAGGCAATCAGAGGGTTCATAGCCTGCCTCTTTACCACGGAGGTCTGGGGTCCGACCTGAAGCATTTTCAGCTCAATCTTATAAAAAAAAACCACCCAGAAGTTTTCAATAACAGAAAAACGAACTCAGTCATTTTCATTTGCTCTTTAATAAACGGGAAGCTACAATTTAAATTATCCTGGTACACTCATGTCTAATCAGAGTGCAGAATTAATTCACAATTTGATAGAGTGTTTGAAACTGAAACTTTGGTCAAATTGCCAAGTTACATCAGCAGGTGTTTAAATTTCTGGAATGCCCAAAACCGAAATGGTTTTCATCTCTTGAAGTACTATCTTGGCCACCTCTGAAATTCTCTTTTATTGGATGTCTCATACTCTACTCTAAAATTGATAGAAACCAGATTAGAACAAGTGGAGTTTTCCCAAATGTTGTCTTTGAGCTGATGGCTGCAGGCAGCTGTGATTTCGAAAGCCCAGTGACTCAAAGGCTGGGGAAACGGAAGTGGCTGAATTATTCAGAATTGCTGAATGCTCTTGTACATAAAAACAATTTAAATTTCACACACATGCTTGTACAGCCATATCCTTTGATGCATTCAGATAGATTCCTATCCTGGGTTTATATCAAACCTATGATGCTCAGGACTTGTGCTCCATCCACGATCTGACATTTTCCCACAATGCATTTAAAAGCGAAAGGTGGTGCCAACAAACACCAGCATCACAGAGACATCAATCTTAACCAATCGCAATGATCTTTGTTACTGTTGAAATCCATGACCATAACTCATTTAGGTTTAATGTCTCCTTCGTCAGGCCTGTGTAAAATCACTATTTCACATCGATAAGGACTAAAAATAGAGCCGTCCTTTGGGATCGTAGTGGATTAACACTTAGCAAATCTGAGGGATTAAATTAGTTTGAACCCGCTGGGGGGCTTGGCTGCACTTCAGTTAATGACTATTTGAGCTGGAGGTGGTTTTTACACCTACCACCACCTTTTCTGGCCATGGTAGAAAATCCGTCAGCAGATCAACTGAAAACTTATTGGCTGAGTCTGCCCACCCTACAGTCTGTTCAAAAAAAGAGCCTTTGACAGAAGGTACTATAGATATAACAAATAATCTCAATATCAATTCAGTTATGCATGACATTTAGCAAATGAAAACTAAGATCTTGTATGAACTGGCCCCTGTCTACACCTAAGGGATCCCTCCTTTCCAGCTACACCCCCTTCCAACCCCTCCTTACCCCAACCTCCAGCAGCTGGCCACCGCTGGGTCATCTGTGTGAATTTGACAGAAGTGCAATTCACTAATGTCAATCTTTGTGGACTACAGATTTAATGTACTTATCTGGAGATTTAAAATGCATAGTCATTGCACAGTAACGTACAGTGCCAAACTGTCCTATTTTAAATATAGGACCATAGCATAATATAAATTTCCAAAATATCAAGAATAGTAGTTGCCAGGATAATTCATCATGAGATGGACATTGATGGTTGATGGACATTTAAGAGGATAGCTGTCAAAAATGACCAAATTCCTGCCAAATGAATTACAACAGAGCTTTATCATCTCAATCAATCAATAATGTCCAGTGTTTCATAAAGCTGATGTATTCATTTCTGCTGGACTGTTACCTGCTTATAACCAAGTGCAGTACTTTACAACATATAACCTGGTGTAATGAGCACAAAATCTGGACTTCTGAAAAGAGGAAGGAATACGGTCTTCTGAGTAGTCTTTACACATTTTTATATATCTGGATGGGTTTTATGTATGGAGGAAACCATAGGAAGCCTTCAAACAAACATGGTGGTGGATCTGAAATGGGATGGGCAACCATCTTGTATGACAGCCAGTATTTCAAATAAATTAAAACAAATGAATTTTTACTGTTAAAATGGGTTCATCTTTCTGTGGTCAGACAGCAGAAATGTATCTGATTCCCCCAAAAGTGTCCATACATTTCTGGCTTCAATTTAAATTTCAAAGCACCACAACACTCTGAAGACTTTTTATGACAAATAATCTGGCTC